TCTCTCTCTCCCCATCTCTCTCCCTCTCTCTCCCTCTCTCTCTCTCTCTCTCAGTGTCTCCCTCTTCCTCACTTTTTCTCTGCTTCTCTCTCCCTTTGTTCTTCCATGCACTACCCATCTCCTCCATTCCACCCAGAAATAATGCTCCCCCACATGCATAATATGCACTTTTCCCACCTTCTAATTTATATTCAATACACCACCCGCTTCCCGCTCCCTCTTCCATGTCCTATTAATCCTCCCTTTCTCACCCCTCCCATACCTTGCAATCCTTATCTGTTGACCTTTCCAAAATTATCCACCTTTCCATAAAAACGTATATCAAAATTCCATGACGCAATAAAAAAGAATACGCTGTTAAAATCTGAAACGCACGCTGCTGCACAGGGGAACAGATATGACAATGATTGTCATCGATTTTGTCTCTACAGAAAGGAATGACGAGGCTGAGGATTTGACCAAATGCGTCCCGAACACGACGGTTTAAAGATGAGGTTTAAGAAAGAGAGAGAGAGAGAGAGAGAGGGAGAGAGAGAGAGGGGGGGAAGGGTGTGTGGATAAAAGCCGGGTGATATTTTTAAAAGATCTTCCTGGCAAGAGGCTGAGATTGATCGATGTAATTGTTTTGTACCGCTGTTTTTCTCACCTCCATTTATTGTTAACTTTTCTTTGGTCTATGGGCGGGGTTGACAATACGCTCGGGTCGAAGGAATGGATGTGTATTACGTGATGTATGGGTGTTTCAGAAAGGAAAGGAAATCATTTACAAGAGCTGGCATACACAGACACACATAAACATAATAATATACAAGTTTAGGAGCTTGCTAATACATGTCTAGAAATTGACAACAGCATGAAAAGATCTAGTTGTGACACATAGGAATAAGGCACACAGAATTAGTTTCGTGTAACTTATCAGGGCCAACTTACATCCCAACAGAAAGACCGTATAGAAAATAAAACATTTGCTTCCAAAATCATATTTTGACGAGAGAAACATTATTGCAGGTTCCCCCCCCCCCCCCCAAAAAAAAAAAAAAAAAAAAAATATATACGTGTCACCGTGAAAAATGATTATTTGAAGAAGCCGACATTTTTTCCAACCGTTGGGCAATTTAAAAAAAAATTTTTTTGGAGGGGGGGGGGGGCTCAACACCTTTTATGTCCATTTATGTGCTGACTTTACTGAAAAAAAACCGTTGTAATGCACAAAAGATGTAAAGTCCCAGTTTCCAAGTACATTCACGCTTTGGAAGTCACCAAACTCTGGCGACCATTTCCTCGCAAATCTTATTCCTGATAACAGAACGCCATCACCTCTTTTTTTTTGGAAAGTGTTTTACGGCGTTCGCAACTGCATAAGGTCATACGAGCGCGCGGGACACACCATACATTTTCAGTTGGTAGGAAATTTTGAATTTTGCCCGTGTGGCGGCCGAAGCCTACTCTTATCGATTTTGGATCACCAAGGGATCTTTAACGTGCACAACTTGCACATGGGACCTCCGAGATTTTTCGCCCTTGTCCGAGAAGGCTAGGTGCAAATCTTTCCTACCATAAGATCAGGGATGTGGCAGAAAGACAGCAATAAGAAGGAGCCAGGAAGTAGCAGTAGAAAGGCTGCAGAAAGAGCCCGGAGCCCAGAGGAGGGGGCAAAGAAGGTAAGGGGTCGGGGCAGAAAGTGGAGGCGAAAAGCAGACGACAGAACATTGCATGAGGGCAGGAAAAAAGATGAAAGGAGATGAAAGGAGACAATCTAGAGAAGAAAAATATCCGTCGATATCCGAATTCGAACCCGGGACCTATTGAATGAGAGGCGAACACCTTAACCTCTCGGCCACGAGAACCCCCCTTCACCTCCTTCAATCGCAAAAATCATAACATCCGTCATATATAGATGGGCAAATTTTTGCATTGAAAAATAAAATAAGCAAACTTCAACATGATGTAAATAGCATGTCTAAAACCTGACCACAGCATGAAAACATCTTGTTGTGACACATAGGAAAACGGTGCACAACATTTGTTTCGTGTAACTTAAAAAATCAGGGCCAACTTACATTCCCACAGAAAGACCATGATACTCGATACCTTCTCCACTGAACAATCAAACTCACATTTTCTGCTGCTTTCTTTTTTTAGTTTAATGCAAAGGACTTTTTACACTACATATTCCTGGAGAAAGAAAGAGAGAGAGAGAGAGAGAGAGAGAGAGAGAGAGAGAGAGAGAGAGAGAGAGAGA